ACTAACAGGTTATAGAGCAAACAATTAACTTATTACAACATAGGTTGAAATATGGCTTTTTTACTGGCTTGGCTTCCCCAGTGATTTTACCCATGTACAGCTACTGACTAGCAGTGGTTATTATATTTAGTGTTAGCGATCTAGTTAATGTGTTTTAAGTTTCCACTTCCTCAGGTGTTGAACCCCAAATTAATGAGTCTATGATATTAGGTAAAGCACATACATTTGTATGTAATTATTGAACAATCAAAAAATCTGGAAATTCTGGAGTCCTATTTTGACAGTAAAATATAGCAACTATAGTCTAATTGTCAACCCAAAATTCAACCCAAAAGTTGGCGGCACACGCAGGGATGTGGGCTGGTGTGGATAAAATGCCAGGACCGAATTCTTGTCCCAGTCCCCCACTGCTGATTTTCCCTGGATCCTCCTTATCTGCACCTCATTTGAGATTCTACCTGGGAAAACAGTGTCAGAATGCCTTAATAAAGCCATGCAGGTTGGGAATAAAGAGCAGATCGATACCTGGGCTCCCATCCATCTGCCTGAGGGATCAACAGGAGAGAGTGCCACTGTCTGGCATCTATATCACCATCACAATTTCTCCATTAGACTAAATTCATCTTTTATCTTCAGTAGCACTAAACCTACATTAAACGCAAACTCAGAGTCATTTGATTCATGTCATTGGTGCAAATTAATCTTCATCTATTCCTCCTAAGGGCTTTTCACACTACTGAACCGAGCCAAGCCAAACCAAGTTGTACTTAGCTGGCCTGGTTACGCATCTACCATATTTACTGGAACCATGCTGAAAAGGACAATCGTGTGAAAAGAAAATATCCAAGCCAGCAAGGTTTGGTTTGGGTCGGCCCTATAGTGTAAAAAGAATAATAGACCTTCCATAGTAGCCTAGCAGTTTTGGTGCTGTGTTCAGGGTTCCATAAACATTCTATAACATGAAAGAGCCCAAAACCTTATATGTAGCTATAACTTTATTTAATCACCCTTTAAAGTCGTTGTTGCAAGGTCTAATCCCTCATCATCTCAACACAGCTCATGTCTCCTTGTCATGGACTCTGTGTTTGGACACATCATGAGCTAATAGGAGAAGATACAGCCAAGGTCTAAGCCTCCCCAGAAACACGAACAGACAGAGAAAGAGAGAGAGCACCGCCAGTGACTCTCCTTTTCTTCCTCCTCCCTTCAGCCCTCCTTTCCTTCTCTTTTTTTTCTTTTTTTCTTTCACGTCGGCAGAATTTACGAGTCCATTACGAGCCTGCGTGCAGTGCCTACAGCGATCAGCACTCTGCTAATCTCGTTATCCGCCACCGCGAGGAATGGGCCGCGGAGGACGACAGATACACCGCCGGGAGACAAACGGCCTATCGAATTCCCATTTCAGCTGAACACACAAGTATACAAACACTCTTTCTGCAATTTGATACATCTCAGCAGTTTAAACACCTTAACTGCTCTCTTTTCAATAGATTTCCAGCTACTTATGGGATCAATTAAATCCATTTGTTACTCTTGTAATTGTCCTTATTGTATCAGCCGCGAGGGCAGGATCTCATTTGTGGGCAACAAAGGGTTATAAGTGTTAAATGACATACAACGCCACAGTATAGGAACTGAAGGCCCTACTCCCTTGGCTGGGGAATACTGGTCCTCCTCACCACATGGAGTGAACAACAGAACCAGTGAGGAGAAATACAACACTAATAGGATGTTTATCAAACTGTGAAGGCGTTATTTACTACATGAATCCAGCAGCCCCACACTGAGTTGTATCATGGCCAAATGGAGTCATCACATTATCCACAGGGCCTATTTTCTCTTCTCTCTCTGATCCATCTGCTACTGAGGTGTACTGGGGAGTCAAAGCTGCAAGTCTGCCATTAGCCCCATTGGTGTCAGCCAGCCTGTCTTACATATGCTGCTTTTAGGCTGCTTTACACTAACGCAGCAGGAGTGTCATTACTGTGAGCCTCCATACTGTCTGGTAGTGGCAGAATTAGCCTGTGTTGCACATGCTAACTCATTTATGTCTCTCTGTGTGGTGATGGAGGTAGAGAACCTTAAGGTCTGGACTGCCTGCTGAACCAGTCATTAGAGGACCTGCAGGCTGTACTACACACGACTGGAATGAACATTACAGAAACTGCTGTGACTATTATAGTAAAGCAACTCTTACGTGTGGTGCAGTGGAGGCTGCTGAGGGGAGGACGGCTCATAATAATGGCTGGAACGGAGCAAATGGAATGGCACCAAACACATGGAAACCATGTGTTTAATGTATTTGATACCATTCCACTCATTCTGCTCCAGCCATTACCAGGAGCCCGTCCTCCAATTAAGGTGCCACCAACCTCCTGTGGTGTGGTGATGAAATGTTTTTTTATTCTTCTCCTCTGTCGAAGGCTGTGTTCGTGTTTTATTGTGCCATGACTGTTTAAATAAGCATGTGACAAATCGATGTTTGTGATTGGCAGGGCATGTGTAGGCATGTGAACGTGCTGTGCTGTGTCGACTCACTGCTCTCCTGCCTGCCTGACTGCTCCCATGGGGCACGCTCTGAAAAGGTCTGGTTTATATCCGGCACACATTTTCATTCACTCTTTCTCTCCCCCTTTATCGATCTCCCTTTTTCAGTGAGACATCAGTCATGATGTGGGGCATGTCCAAAGTCAGCAAGGATACCCTTCAGCTTATCTGAAAATGTAGCACTAGATGAAACACTGACATCCTCCCATAATTCTGATGGTCTTCTCTAAGGTATGGTACATAGCATACAAATGACCACAACCAGATGTATGGATGTTGGCATTGCAAAAGGAAACCATGCCTGTCCACCTCATGACTTACTTGACTTAAGCCCTTGGCTCCTGTGGAGCACAGGCCGTTAACGAATGTCATCCATCTCACTCGGTTTGGGACAAGTTTTTCCAGGTCACACAAGTTGAGGCCTCTCTCAGTCATTTCTGCCTTTACGTCTTTCCTCCAAGTGTTTCTGGGTAGCCCTCCTCACGAGATAGGCGTATATGAGACAGGGAGATAGGTTAGCTCCCACTGTTGTAGCACTTAGCTTACAGTTCCCATAGGGGATTTAATTAGAGGTAGACCTCTGTCTCTGGCGTGGAGATAATGACTGAAGAGTTACTATACAGGAGTATTTCATTGTGGTTCAACAAACCAACCAGTCAACTTTCAAAGGAATGCATATAATGGGAAACCTCACTAACACCAGTGTTATGTCACTGAGACTTTGACAGGATATCATTCCATCCCTAGAAACCTCAAATTGACTCATCGTTGGTTACACACAGGGGTCTCCCTTTATGACCCATGCCCTCTGACCCACTCATGCCTCTGTATCAAAACATTGCCACATCAACCTGCAGTGTGATTAGCATTATAGTGATTGGATGTGGGGATTCCATCTGGGAGATCAATTAAGTCAACCCAGGAAGTGATCCCTGTTCTGATAACATGGTTTACGGTGACCTGTGATGAGCCAGACAAGGTCACACTGAGGACACACATCACCACTAACCCTGGGTGCTCTTGCTCCACTCACCTCATCAATGCTAACATGGCTCCTGGTTGGGGACTTGTAAATGGTGTTGGAAAAGCCATTGGCAAAACAAGGAAACGTCTGGTGGATCAATGCTGACATAAACCATCAGACACGGCTCCAGGCTGTTCAATAGAACCTGCACTGCAGTAGAGTCATCCCTCTATCTCTCTCTACCTCCCCAGTGGTCGCTCAGTGCATCAGGATCCCTCTGGTCATAGCCCTGTGTAGTGTTATGACATAACCTGTCAAATGTTCTTATGAATCTGTAGGATTGATAGTACCTGAGATGTGCCACAATACTGCTCCATACCAGCCACATTAATACAATAGGATTGCCCCATTTATTAGTAAGACCAGGCAGAAATAATAATAATAATGTTGCTTGAAACAAGTTGAGAATGATCAAGTACTTTTAAATGTATATGACATCACGCATTCATTTCATTTACAGAGGGATATCTTTCAATTCTTTACAAAGCAGTAAATCTATGTAAAATGTAATAACTTCAAACTTAGCACATTATCTCAATAACAATAATAGGGGGTTGTATGCAGTGGTGACATCATGTATAATCTTTTGGTCTATTTATTGTTTTACATTACAGATGACCTGTAGTTTGGCCTCTTCCCCCATTCTTAAGAGCTTTGGAGATACTCATTCAGGAAAGACATAATACCTGCCATAATCAGCCATTTTGGCTCTCAAAGCATTAATTACGACTACCACCTCAGCCATTTCGGCTCCAGGTACTTTCATACTGCTAGTTGTATTGTGTCTCATGCCTGTCAAATGGCATTCACGAGGGGCAGCCATACTGGAAACATATTCCTTCTGCCCCCATCTGCCCTGCACCTCCACAAAAAGCGCATTGATCGTGGTCCCTGTTCAATGCTAGAAGAAATAAGACAGAAGGATTACCAGGGTAGATATGTCCCCCATCCAATCTCCATATACCCCCCACTCATAAAGGCTCCATTAGCTCCTGTTGTGGTCCGGATGGGAAAGACGTTAAAACAGATCAACTGTGACGAGCGTCTTCAATAAAGAAGAGCCAACCAACACCACTGTGTTCTTTGTGTGTGTGTGTGTGTATGTACGTGCACGCAAGCCTGCATAGTGGGTAGTTACATTGATATCAAAACAAGAAATTAGAAGAATGTGCTTTATTTTGTATTGACAATTTGAACTTTGACACTTTGAAAAGTAATCCATTTTCTATTACAAAAATAAACTTGTCTCATCTTTTCCTAACACCTTCAGAATCAAATAAATAACTTAAACCCCCTTAAATTCCATTGTCATTGTCACTGAGACACCCCCCCATCCTGATGAAAACTAAACATAACTGCTGAGTCAGGAGAAGATGACAAAGGAGGAAGGAGTAACAAGCATCATCCCTCTGGTGTCAGTGGCACTGCATTAGGCTGTGGTGGCAGGTCTGGCTATGCTCCGCCTCTTGCTCTGCATGGCCAGGATGCACACCCTGTCTGACATGCTGGACACCACAAAGTCCAGGGCCGTGCCCCCTAGAGACCTTAGGGGGAAAGGAGTGTGTGTGTGTGTGTGTGTGTACAATACACTAGCCTAATTTAAACTTCTTCCACTAACATAAAAATAATTTTGGACAGCTGAAACATGTTTCACAATTTGTGTGTGTGTGCGTGTGTTTACCTGGATAGAAGCTTATCAGGGAACCGGTTCTCCTTGTAGTGGGAGCAGGAGGATCGGGATCTGAGGGGTCTGTCTTTCATTTGCCTGTCCACTTTACTGGGTCCTGCTGGCTCAGTTTGAGGGGGACACTTGGCCTCCCAGCCTTGGGATCTATCAAGGAGAGCTAGGTGACAAACTAACACTACAGTCCACTTGAAGTCATTGGCCACAGGCCTGCTTGCTCTCCAGGCCAAGAGGATGCTCTCACTTTCCATTTCATCCATCACAGCATTGATCTGACACTGCACAATCCCTATAAACACTCATACAAGCACACTCATACATCTACACACTCTCTCTGATGCCAATACACACTATATTTTACATCCCTGTCAATGCCTTTGCTTTAAGAGCTGGAACGAGTTAACACATGTCCATTGGCCTGTGTGAATGTACTGATTTGATTTGATCGCAAAACATGATAATTCTCACACTGACTTAGCCAAAATATGATAGTTCTCAGACTGACTGAGCAAAAACATAATTTTCACACTGACTGAGCAAAAACATGATAATTCTCACACTCACATCTGTAGCAATTAAATACTTTGAAAGGCTGGTCATGGCTCACATCAACACCATCATCCCAGAAACCCTGGACCCACTCCAATTCGCATACCGCCCCAACAGATCCACACCTGAGTAGGTGTGTCAACTTTTGACCAGTCAAAAGTTTGGACACACCTACTCATTCAAGGGTTTTTCTTGCTTGGGCCATGCAAGAGACTTGCTTGGGCCAAGAAACACGAGCAATGGACATTAGACTGGTGGAAATCTGTCCTTGGTCTGATGAGTCGAAATTTGAAATGTTTGGTTCCAACCGCCATGTCTTTGTGAGATGCAGAGTAGGTGAACGGATGATCTCCGCTTGTGTGGTCCCCACCGTCAAGCATGGAGGAGGAGGTGTGATGGTGTGGGGGTGCTTTGCTAGTGACACTGTCAGTGATTTAATTAGAATTCAAGGCACACTTAACCAGCATGGCTACCACAGCATTCTGCAGCGATACACCATCCCATCTGGTTTGCGCTTAATGGGACTATCATTTGTTTTTCAACAGGACAATGACTCAAAACACAACTCTAGCCTGTGTAAGGGCTATTTGACCAAGGAGAGTGATGGAGTGCTGCATCAGATGACCTGGCCTCCATAATCACCCGACATCAACCCAGTTGAGATGGTTTGGGATGAGTTGGACCGCAGAGTGAAGGAAAAGCAGCCAACAAGTGCTCAGCATATGTGGGAACTCCTTCAAGACTGTTGGAAAAGCATTCCTCATGAAGCTGGTTGAGAGAATGCCAAGAGTGTGCAAAGCTGTCATCAAGGCAAAGGGTGGCAACTTTGAAGAATCTCAAATATAAAATATATTTTGATTTGTTTAACACTTTTTTGGTTACTACATGATTCCATATGTGTTATTTCATAGTTTTGATGTCTTCACTATTATTCTACAATGTAGAAAATAGTAAAAATAAAGAAAAACCCTTGAATGAGTAGGTGTGTGCAAACTTTTGTCTGGTACTGTATATATGTAATGGGGATCCATAATAAATACAAATTAGCCACGAAATCCCTAGTTTGAAAGCGACTGTTTTCTGGAAGCTGGGTGGCGCCATTTTCCCCCACGTGGGCCAGCCCCCTAGCAATTCGAATTCCAGCCAATGCGCTTCAGCCCGTCTGAATTTGAGTGACAGCTAGCAAGACGCACACACAGTAGATCGAGAGAGAGAGAGCAATGACGTGGTGCATATATTTGCACATTTGTGACATAGTACACCATTTTCGGGACTTTAAATAATACCATCTTTGAGAACTAACAATAAAATAAAAGCTAAACAGTCAGGGAGAATCGAAAATTGCAAAAACAGGGTATTCAGGGCACTTGCCCATTGATTTTGTTATAATGTTTGAGCAGAGGAACACAGCATTAGCTATGGCAAAATGCATAGAATTGCAGGAAATGTGCTTTAAAACTGCAAAATTGTCTCTCAGTTCAATGGAAAAATTTGTAGAATTGCAGAGAAATAGCTTTACAACAGCTAAATATTCTCTTCGCGCCAAGATACCTTTCTAGCTAAAACGCTATGTTGGAGTTTACACTTCCTATTCCAATGAACTGTGGGGAGGTCAAAATAATGAAACTGTCGATCAAATCTATTCATTTTAAAATGTTGATTAATTTTACTTGCCATTATCATTCACCTGATGATAAGACGTGATTAATTTTCTTTGCTCACATACTATGGAGTCCCTGGGTAGCCGGTTTGCCTGGGCGGGGGTCCCTAGGCAAGAACATTTTGAAAACCCCTGGTCTAGATGACCCCACTGATCATGTTAACCCACAGGCTGATTTTGGGACAACCCTTGGCTGTTTGAGCAGTCAGTGAGCACAGTAATGGTCCTATGTGGTTCTGTGCCAGACTCACCCCAGTTTGTAGTCATGAGGCAGGAAGTTTCCCTTGGCGTAGTCACTCTGGGTTTTGGCAATCTGCTTCAGGAGGTTGGTCTTGCTGAAGCCATAGCCGTTCAGAGCACTGCCTCCGAAAATCAACTTTCCCCCGGCATACATCTGTGGACACACATTACCAGTTTCACACAAAGGGAGAGAAGACAGTAAAGGGTGTTAGGTTGGTAAAAAAAAAAAAATATAGAAGAAAATTGCAAATTTGGATATGGTTTTGGTTAGAAACCACAACTTTAGGGCAAAATACAACAAATCTAATTTCGTGGCCATCTAGCACAGAGAAAGTAATTTTACAGTGTCTCTATCTAGCTGCATAATAACATGGAAATACACCTTAGTTACATATAAAATAAAGCAATGACGGGGCTGTAGTGGAGCAGGTTGAGAGCTTCAAGTTCCTTGGTGTCCACATCACCAACAAACTATCATGGTCCAAACACACCAAGACAGTCGTGAAGAGGGCACGACAAAGCCTATTCCCCCTCAGGAGACTGAAAAGATTTTGCATGGGTCCTCAGATCCTCAAAAAGTTCTACAGCTGCACCATCGAGAGCATCCTGACTGGTTGTATCACCGCCTGGTATGGCAACTGCTTGGCCTCCGACCGCAAGGCACTACAGAGGGTAGTGCGTACGGCCCAGTACATCACTGGGGCCAAGCTTCCTGCCATCCAGGACCTCCATACCAGACGGTGTCAGAGGAAGGCCCTCAAAATTGTCAAAGACTCCAGCCACCCTAGTCATAGACTGTTCTCTCTGCTACCACATGGCAAGCGGTACCGGAGCGCCAAGTCTAGGTCCAAAAGGCTTCTCAACAGCTTCTACCCCCAAGCCATAAGACTCCTGAACAGCTAATCATGGCTACCCAGACTATTTGCACTGCCCGCCCATGGGTCTAAAAGAGGAGGTTAGCATGTCTTGGGGGTATGACATTTGACCCTCTGTAACTTTCTCACTCATCATTATTCACGATTCATTCAGGATTATCCATAGTCATGGTAGCATCCACATTAATGTTTAGAAACATATTACATTCTTCTTCTCTCCCTCCCTCCAAAATGTGCCCTGGCAGCAACACATAAATGCATCTTCATAAATGGGAGTGCAGACAAACACAATCACATACACACAAACAGTAACACACATAGCAAACATACACCGATGGTGACAGAAGAGCTGTGACTGTCTGAGTGATTGTTTCCCAGTTTGTTGGGCCAGTCTCACCAGAGGCAAATGGAAACAAAGAGGGGGGGCCCGGTCAAGCTTGAATGGGGGTCTGCCCTCCACCAAACCAGGAAGCGCACCGCCCCTCCATACAGGAGATACACAAAACACACACAGGATGTGTCTCAATACTATAACATGGGCTCCTTTTCCTTGTCTCCTTTCCTTCATGAGAGAACTGGGAGGTTTCCACCATATTGCCTCCAACTTTCAAATGTTGCCAGATCAGTGATCATGGAGAACAGGAGACAAGAAGAGGAAGTTAAATCTATTAACATACAACCATAGCACTCCAGCCTTCAGTAGGACAGTGATCTCCTACACTCCCAGCTAGCACATTTGGTTCCTTGGAAGTTGTGGGAACATATGTTTTTGGTTTCCCATTGGTTCTGGGAACAAAGCCATCATTTTCCTGACAGGTTAAATTAACGTTTTTTTAAACATTGAGAATGGAAGTTTAAATGTCACCTGTTCTGGGAACGTTAATTTTTAGGTTGCAGCGAGGTTCTTAGAACGTTTTACTATGGTTCCTTTAAAGTTTTCCTGGGAGGTTTAATTAACGTTCTGAGAACGGAAATCAAAGGTTATTTGAAGGTTATTAAATAACGTTCTGAGAACATTCTGTTGTGAATATTTTGAACGAAATGTAAAGGGTATTTGGAGGTTTATGAATAACTTCGTTAAAATATTCACTGAATGTTTCAATAAGACTTTTAATAACACTGCTAGCTTAGGTTAACGGTTTTGAACTGCAAGCATAGATAAGACACATGGAAATGAATTTGCTTCGGCACACATTTTTTATTATGGCACAGCGAGTGAGATTCAAACCTATGATCTTCTGTTCTCTATTCATGGTATTAGTCCACTGCGCCACCAGAATGGAGCTAGCATGCCATGTTTTTTAAAAAACTCATTACAAAGCTGTTCATTTTAGTCTATTCAAACAGACCCCATTTCAAAGGAAACAAGCACTCATTAAGATCAGGTGTGGCCAATTAGTGAGTGCGGCCAATACACCTGAACACACTTAAATCACATTTTATTGGTCACATACACATATTTAGCGGGTTATTGCGGGTGTAGCGAAATGCTTGTGTTCCTAGCTCCAACAGTGCAGTAGTAACTAACAATTCACAACAATACACAAATCTAAAAGTAAAATAATGGAATTAAGAAATATAGTCCTTGGGAGCGGGCCACGTCGGTGGCACTGTGTTATTCTCAAAGTGGGCGAAGAAGGTGTTTAGCTTGTCTGGGAGCAAGACGTCGGTATCCGCGACGTGGCTGGTTTTCCCTTTGTAATCCGCGATTGTCTGTAGACCCTGGCACATACGTCTCGTGTCTGAGCCGTTGAATTGCGACTCCACTTTGTCTCTGTACTGACGTTTTGCCTGTTTGATTGCTTATGGAGGGAATAACTACACTGTTTATATTCTACCACATTCCCAGTCACCTTGCCATGGTTAAATGCGGTGGTTCGCGCTTTCAGTTTTTTTAAACAAGATAGAGGATAGAGAGAGTTTTGTTGACGCTGAGAACAGAATGAATATGTTATTAAATAACATTCTTAGAACGTTAGTAATGTTTTCTTGTGTTTTTTATGGAAAGCTCTTAATGTTCTGAGAACATGACTTTAAATAGAACCATGAGGAAACCTGTAGAAAACGTTATGCTGAAGTACTGAAATTCCCACAGAATAACTTTCTTAATGTTCTCTGAATGTTCTGAGAACATTCCCAATGTCAAACCAGTCCTAGTGCGGCAGGTGACCTAGCGGTTAAGAGCGTTGGGCCAGTAACCGAAAGGTCACTGGTTTGAATCCCCGAGCCGACTAGGTGAAGAATCTGTCGATGTGCCCTTGAGAAAGGCACTTAACCCTAATTGTTCCTGTAAGTCACTCTGAATAAGAGTGTCTAGTAAATGACTTCAATTTTTTATTTAATTTTTTTGGGGGGTAGATCAGCTTAATATTGCAGATAGATTGTAACTTCCATCAATGTAATTGTCTGCATCACTTCCAATCCCCCATGTTTTTTATATATATACTCCCCTTTATTACTTTTCAACCCCGCCATCCTTTCCCTACTTGGGATAAATTAGTGAACAACAATCCTTAGGCCTCTACTTCCAGCTTATACTTACTATATACATTTTATGGACACAGTCAATTTTACAATAATTATATTTTGTTTGTTTTTTCTCCTGAACTTCTTCTATTCTCAACCTCTCCGATCATTTTTATGATGTCCATCCGGTTTGCTTCTATATGCCATATCTTTCTAACTGTGCTCTTTCCCAAAAGCTCCCAACATACAACCTATATATTTATTATGGACACAGTATGCTTACATTATTAGTTATCTTGTTATTATTTGTTGTTAGTTGTTATTAGTCCCATCCTTCAACTCCATTCAACACCTCCCATCTATCTCTTAACACCATCCATATAGGATTTCTATTTGCCATATACTGTATATTTCAACTGTACTGTGATGTTTTACAAAAGTTCTGAACCTTTCTATTCTCATTGTTTCTACAGATTGTGAATTAAAAATAAACATTTTTGCTAAAAGTATTATTATATTATTGATCGATTGACTATGACTTTTCAGATCACCCAGTAATGATATGCAGATAGCATTACTGGGTGATCTGAAAAGTCATAGTCAGGTTAGCTCCAGGTAAATATTGCAATCCTTTAGCCATTCCTGGACCTGTGTCCAAAAACAAGCTACAAATGGACAGAACCAAAACAAATGATCCAATGATTCTGTCTCTTCACAGCAAAATCTGCAGAGCTGGGAAGATTGTATCCCCCATATAAATAACATTCTATTAGTAGCAAGAATTTTATATAATAATTTAAATTAATTAACGTTTTGCGTGTCAGTTCATAAACACTATGCCATGGGATCGGTACGTCAAAAATCTCTTCCCAACTATTTTGCAATCTATATGGGACGGCTGTCAATCCTTTGGTCCTTAAATTAAACTGATATACTTTTTTATTTATCACAGTTTTCCTTAACCAATTATGTTCTTTAATGCAAGGCCGACAGACAAGTTCCTTACTTTCTCCCCCTTCCACTTTCCTCTTCCATTTTTGGGGTAAGGCTGCAATTATTTGGTTGTAATTTTGGGTAGAGCAGACATTTCCATATGTTTTTGTTAGCTGCATGTGTGACATAACTCCACCAGTCCTACCGATAATATCATTTATGAAGATTATACCTTTTTTAAACATTTTGTCAAAAAATAAATGTAGAACATTACCAAACATTTTATTAAATGTAACCATGTTTCAATTTTTAGGAAACGTTTTGTTAAAGTAATGAAATACCAAGAAAATAACATTACTTTGTCAAGTTCCTTAAATGTGCTGAGAATGTTCCAAAGCCAAGCAACTATCCTGCACCATTCCCAGAAAGTTGTGAGAAGGTTTTATGCAAAATAACCATAGGACAACCATACTCTCGCCAAGCTCTAAGAAACATTTGGCTCTCAGAACGTTCTGTGCTAGCTGGGCTGTCCCAACCATAATCAACTACTTCCAAACCCCCGTTCCTCCTTGTGCCCCCCTGTATTGTACCAAAAGTGTTCCGGGTCCAACGCCGTGCCTCTGGACCAGGACAGGAAGTGATGACTGGGTCAGACGAGTGGCCGTGTCTGTGTCGTATTTGACCAGCCTGAACGGGTCCTGAGAACTCTGTCACAGACATACATATCATAATTATTAACAATCAACAAACAGCTAAATCATCCAGCATACTCCCACTGTATGTCTGAGCCAGGGTTGCCATGTCTGCGGTTTTGTAGCAATTGGGCTACTTTGAAAACGATGTTGTGGGTGAAAATGAAATGGTCGTTGGTTTCGGGTTGTTGGGCTACTTCTAAATTTCACTGCGGCCGCCATGGCATTTCTCTCTGGTTTTTAAAAATCTATTATTTTCACTGTGACCTGCTGCTGCTGACTATCAGGCAGTGAGGCAGGCTGTTGCCGAGTGAGTGGTGAGGAGGGAGGGGGAGGGCCGGAAGGGTGTGTGTGTTGAGAGAGCGCTGCAGCAGGCAGCTGAGTCACGTGAGTGAGAGGAGAGCAGCATGTGCACAAGTCATGAAAAGTGATGTGAAAACAATGAATGGAAACACCTATTGGATAAATCTGGCAACTCCTCTCTTGCTGCCCCCCAATAAATGTGGGTCGTTTTCAGGCCTTGTTGGCGGGTTTTGAGTGGTCATTGATCTAGTAATTCTAGCTACACCTGGCAACTCTGGTCTGAGCCATGATCAGACACAGGCTACATACAGTATGTCCCTAAAGACACCCTATTCCCCATATTGTGCACCACTTTCTGACGTACTGCGGTCATTTGGGATCAGAGACCAAAAGCAGTGCACCATATATGGATAGTATGAGTATCGTTTGGACAGAAGTAACACCTCCTCCACACCCCCAGCTCCTCACCTTGGCACAGGGGTTGGTGGAGGCATGGACCTGCCTGTGGTGGACCCTCCGCAGGATGACCTCCACGTTGCGGCCCCTGGGCGGGGGGCAGAGGGAGGAAGTGACGTAGACCACCAGGATGTGGCCCCGGGGGGCCCAGGGGGCCCGGAGAAACAGCTCCAGCTCTAGGTCAGACAGGAGGGGAAGGCGGGTTGAGCAGTGGCAGCCCTGTGGAGTAGGAGGAGTCTGAGAGCTGTGGAGGAGGAGGAGTCTGAGAACCACAGGGCAGGGAGGAGTTTCACTGGGGGAGAGGGCTGAGAGGGAGGAGAAGCATGGCAGGCCTGCAGACTTTGCCCTGTGGGAGAGAGAGACTGTAAGATTAGTGTGTGTATCTGTACGTGTGTGTGTGTATCTGTATGTGTGTGTGTGTGTGTGTGTCACCTGTGCAAGGCAGGTCTGAACAGGTTGGCTGGTGTGGACATGTGCAGGCTGCAGGTGGCCGGCCTCGGGACCTTCCTCCTCAGACGGGCTGGACGCACAAAGGTAGGTGGGATCTCCTCAACGGTGGGAGTTGCGGTCCAAGCCTCTTTGCGTTTAGGTGGTCTGGATTTGTAGTCTGGGAGCAGTGGTTCATCACTGAGACCTGGGGGATGAAGAAAAGGGAGTATAGCTAGAAGACTAGTAGTTTAGTTAACAAGCAATAAACATCACACAACAAACAGGGTTGTTCAAGGGCCATCTATCATGGAGAATAGCCCATAGGGTGATGGGATACCTGTGGCCACCAGGTAGAGTTGGAGCCAGCGCAGCGCTGTATCTCTCACTCTCTTCCTGATCCCCTGTAACTCCGCCCTGTAGGCCTCGACCTCCACTGACTCCACCCCTGCTTGCCCTGGCCCCTCCCTTCCACTACTCACAGGCTATACATGGGGAGGAGTGGGAGGAAAGGAGAAGAGGGAGGGAGGGAGGGATAAGAGGGGGAGTAAGAAGGATGAAAGAGGAGGGGATAGAGGGAAGGAAAGGAGGAGAGGGAGGGAAGGGGGGATAAGAGGGGAAGTGAGAGTGAGAGGGATGTGAGAGGAGGGGATAGAGGGAAGGAGAGAAGTAAAACAGATACAATAGACAACAGCAAAGACAGAAAACAGTGCTGTTTCCATACTGATCATAAACCTCCTACAGTGAAGGCTGTCTTGTCTTCCATACTGACACTAAGTAAAACACATCAAACAAATACCAAATAAATAAATATCTCTTACACATTTACACATTACTGTCACGATCGTCGGTAAGAGAGGAGGACCAAGGCGCAGCGTTGCAGGCAAACATACTCTTTATTTAGCGATAAACGACAAAATAAACAAAACGATAACGTAACAGTTCACGGTCTAACACAAACCAACTCGAAACAAGATCCCACAACTACTGTGGGAAAACAGCCTGTATAAATGTGGTTCCCAATCAGAGACAACCAGCCACAGCTGACACTCGTTGCCTCTGATTGAGAACCACACTGGCCAACATAGAAATGAAACACCTAGAACTATAACACAGAAATCTACACACCCTGGCTCAACATAACAGTGTCCCCAGAGCCAGGGCGTGACAATTACACCTTTTAAAGGAAAATTATGCATCAATGAATAAACCAATTTATGTGTTAATGTATTTAGTCCTGTAAATGTTGTGCAGTAAATCTGTGATGTCTGACGTGAGACAAATAAACAACATCACACAGTCCTCTTCAGTGCTACAGTGACAGACATGGTTCAATGTGCAGCGCCAGGGGAAAAAGACAAATAAGCTGTCGCTTAGGGCCCCAGGCCGCTAGGGGCCCCCCAGCCCCCCAAAAAAGATTATACTTTGAAAACAGCTACTGCAGCATTTATTTTGCTATAAATCACAACTCACACATGTGCCCATACTTGACTTTTGACTATTTTTATGAAATGCTCGCACTATAGAGCCCTGAGTGTGACCACCCGCCAACGTAGATGGTGAATTAGACATTCTTACCGCCAATGCCAAAATCTACCTTACCTTAAAAACACCAAAATATGGATCTTGAAAGGGAGTGTTATGTATTTTGAAAACTTTTTTCCAGTGGATGTTGGCATTTTTGCCATGTCCCCAGGTGTTCATCAATATAAGCCATAAAATAATAAAATGATTCATTATTTTATAGTTCTAGTTAAAGCTGCAATACAGTGCCTTCGGAAAGCAATCAGACCCCTTGACTTTTTCCACATTTTGTTAAGTTACAGCCTTATCATAACAAAATGTGGAAAAAGTCAAGGGGTCTGAATACTTTCCGAAGGCACTGTATGTACATATTTGGGCGACCGACCAAATTCACATAGAAATGTGTGTTATAGATCTGTCCTTCTCATTAAAAGCAAGTCTAAGAAGCGGTAGATCTGTTCTATGTGCGCTATTTCTATGCTTCCCATTCTTACGTTTCGTTTTTGCATATTTTACTTTCAGTTTTGTACACCAGCTTCAAACAGTTGAAAATACAATATTTTTGGTTATGGAAAATATATTTCACAGCGGTTTAGATGGTACAATGATTCTCTACACTATACTTGCTTGTTTTGTCACAAACTGAAATTAGGCTAACTTTTAGAATTTTAGCAACCCGAAATGGCGGAGTGATTTCTGCATAGTGCATCTTTGAATTCTCTCTCATCAATAACGTTTTTTTAATGTATTTACCATTCTTTTATTTAAGATTTCCTGTGTCCCTGATATCACTATCCACCCTGTTAGTTTGTTGTAATTCTCCTTTAAGAAAACAACCCCTTCCTACAATGACATTCAGGAAGTGTCATTTCTTTGGTGGGAAAACAATGGTGCAAAGCTAAATAAATATAAACACTCAGTTTTATACATTTTCCTATGTTTCATGTTGTTAGTCTGTATGTCTCACTCATAAATGTCCATCCTGTTTTTATTTTATTTTTATTTAACCTTTATTTAACCAGGTCAGCCAGTTGAGAACAAGTTCTCATTTACAACTGCGACCTGGCCAAGATAAAGCAAAGCAGTGCGATAAAAACAACAACAACACAGAGTTACATATGGAATAAACAAAACATACAGTCAATAACACAATAGAAAATCTATATACAGTGTGTGCAAATGTAGTAAGTTATGGAGGTAAGGCAATAAATAGGCCATAGTGCAAAATAATTACAATTTAGTATTAACACTGGAGTGATAGATGTGCAGAAGATGATGTGCAAATAGAGATAGTGGGGTGCAAATTAGCAAAATAAATAACAACGTAAATAACAATATGGGGATGAGGTAGTTGGGTGGGCTAATTTCAGATGGGCTGTGTACAGGTGCAGTGATCGGTAAGCTGCTCTGACAACTGATGCTTAAAGATAGTGAGGGAGATAAGTGTCTCCAGCTTCAGAGATTTTTGCAGTTCGTTCCAGTCATTTGCAGCAGAGAACTGGAAGGAATGGCGGCCAAAGGAGGTGTTGGCTTTGGGGATGACCAGTGACATATACCTGCTGGAACGCATACTACGGGTGGGTGTTGCTATGGTGACCAATGATCTAAGACAAGGCGGGGATTTGCCTAGAAGTGATTTATAGATTTATAGATGACCTGGAGCCAGTGGATTTTGCTAAATTATATATAGAAAATTAACCACATTTCAAAATATGTTTGTAGAACTGTGTTTAGGGGTTCTATACAGATGCCTCTTAGATTCTGGGTTCTTACCGGCTCCACCTCCCTCAGACTCAAGGTGATGTCATTCTCCGCCAGGACGCTGAATATCAGGGTCATGTTCAAGTGGTTACTGAAGGTCAGTGTTATGTTCTCGTTCACCTGATGAATACACACAAAATCTATAGTAAATGTGTTTGGGCCACACACACACACAAACACACACACACACACACGTACGTACGTACGTACGTACACACACACCTTGTATTTGTGCAGAACTTCATTCTGAGACCTGGGGTTGAAGGTCCACTCCTTAGTCAGACAGCCCTCTCTTGTGTACTGCTGACCTCCCAAGGATCCTACCAACAAGGCAACCCAACTGGACCTGATCACACAACACACAGTCCTTAGTTTACGGACTCTTTAAGGGACACTCATAGGTTTACTCTTGAAATGACTGCTAAAGTTTGTGATTGCATTGCTATCATTACTGCACATCTGTAGTTCAGGGGTTCTCAACCTTTTTGGGACCCCTCATAACACAACTCGAGTGAGATAAAAATAGCAGACAAGGAGTTTTACTATGACTTCGGCAGTGCATGGCCAGACAAACCAAGTCTCTGGCCCTGGGAAGGAACATTTTAAACGCCCGTCTCTTGGCATTGGAGAGAAAACGTTGCAGTTTTCAAGCTAATTTCCTGCAATTCTACACATTTTGTCATATGGCAAAGATAATTTTTGTTGTTGCAGCTTTAAAGCTAATATCCTGCAATGTTATACATTTTTCCATGAGGCAGAGAGACAACTTTGCAGTTTTAAAGTTTAAATTACAGTGCATTTATGTAAAAAATAATCAAGAAGTATTGAGTTCAAAAAATTTATAATTAGTGGAGTACTGTGGATACCAATATCCCTGTGACCCAGGCCCATGTTGCCCAGGCTTAAGAACAGAAATTGTAGATTAATAATATTACATTGTATTGCATTACACCATCTTAACTTATTCCACTAATCCCTTGGCCAAAATGTGTTTAGTCTGTTGTTGTTAGTAATATATACAGTATATATATATCTTTTTTTATTATGCAGCACCTCCGCCGACCCCCAGGGGGGCACCGACCACACTTTGATAACCCCTGTGTTAGTGTAATCTGGTTTCAAACAGCTGAGGATCTGACCATACCTGTGCTTGCCTGTGTGGTACACAACACCATGGCCACTGGGCTTGAAGGAGGCCATCAGGATGTCATAGGGACTGTCAGAGAAGATGTTTGTGTAAACGCCCCCTCTGGGCATGGCACTGGGCAGCTGGCACACTGCTACTGAACCAGACGGGTAGCTGAGACACAGTCAGGGACAACACTGCTCCATGCTTAAAATAGATTAAGGGGGTGAAAAGAGCAGAGAGCATTGGGAAGGGATATAGGGAGGGTGGAAAAACATGGACATCAGCAGTGGTAGAACGCAGATGTGGCGAGGCAAGGATACTAGAGATAGCTGGTTCCATCAGGCAGGCCATAGTGCAGTTTTGGGGAGACGCTGTAGCCCAAGTACTTGGTGTTGGGGATGAAGGGAAAGAGGCAGTCCTCTGCATGGGCTGGGGCCGGCTGTGGCAGCTGGAGGACCTTATAGTCCTGGTAGTGTTGAGCCACCATGGGGCGTGTGTGGCCTCTCGAATCCAGCCGGGCATGCTCCTCTTTTCTATAGGAGCATATTCAAATCAACACAACGGCTACACAAGTGTCTATGTAAGTCAGTATATGTTAAGACATAGAAGGGTAGCCAGGGGAAGGAGAAGGAGTATCTTGGTTTTACAGGTTGATCTGTACTGCAGGAGCTGGAGTGAGGAGGTCTGCACCTTAGGTTTATACCACTTACATCTGATCTAGGATGGGTCTGAGCTTGTTGACAGCCCAGTAACACACCTCCAGAGTCCTGCTGTGAAGACGCGGAGTACAGGGGACACTGTTCACCTCTAGAGAGAGAGAGAGAGAGAGAGATACACTTGCAAGAAGTGAAAAAACTGTCTGAAGAGAGGTTACATTCCTACACTGCATGTACAGCCTAGTCTGGGTGGAAAATGCATATTTTGAATATTGTGTAGAAATTGTTTTGACATTTCTGAAAGCTTGTATGGTATATCTTCAGCCGAGTCTGACTACCCATATTGAGGAAAATTAATGTTTTTAGACAAATAATCACATTTCACAAAAATAGTGTAGCATTCACAAGTGTAAATTGTCTTCATCAGGCTCTGCTAAGCTAAGAACATTGTGTAGAATTTGTTTTGAAGTCTGTATGGTGATGGTGCGGGGTGGTGTCACGTTCGTTTAAGGACAGGTCAGACCAAGGCGCAGCGTGAAAGGCATACATGTTTATTTCACAGATAAACACACGAACAAAACAACAAACCAAACGAAACGTGAAGTCCTAAGGCTGAACACAATACAAGCCTCCAACACGGAACAAGATCCCAGAACTAATGAGTGCCAACAGGCTGCCTAAGTATGATCCCCAATCAGAGACAACGAGCGGCAGCTGTCTCTGATTGGGAATCACACCCGGCCAAACATAGATATACAACACCTAGAATATAAACATAGAAAACACAACATAGAATATCCACACCCTGACTCAACATACAAGAGTCCCCTGAGTCAGGGCGTGACAGTACCCCCCCCCAAAGGTGCGGACTCCGACCGCACCAACCTGACATGACAGGGACGGGTCCGGGTGGGCATTCCGCCTCGGAGGCGGATCCGGCTCCGGGCGTGACGACCACATTCTCTCAGCCTCCTCGTTACGCCCCTGGTCTGGTCTGGACCTCGGCGCGCTGCTTCCCCTCTCCTTCCTCCCACGATGTACCAAGCCCTGTCTGGACCCTGGTGTGGGAGACCCCGAACCTGGAGAGGGGCGGACGTCTGGGTCTGGACGGGAGCCGCTGACCGGAGCTGGACTAGGCACCGGTGGAGCGGACTGCTCTGGCTCCGGACTGGAGCCCCTGACCGGAGCTGGACTGTGCACCGGTGGAGCGGACTGCTCTGGCTCCGGAGTGGAGCTGCTGACCGGAGCTGGACTGGACCCCGGTGGAGCGGACTGCTCTGGTTCCGGAGTGGAGCTGCTGACCGGAGCTGGACTACCCCGGTGGAACGGACTACTCTGGCTCCGGAATGGAGCCGCTGCCCGGAGCTGGACTGGGTACCGGTAGAGCGGACTGCTCTGGCTCTGGAGTGGAACAACCGACCGGAGCTGGATCAGGCACCGGTGGAGCGGACTGGCGACACGCACCACTGGCTTGGTGCGGGGAGCAGGCATGGGCCGTACCGGACTGGGAACACGCACCACTGACTTGGTGCGAGGAACAGGAACGGGCCGGGCCGGACTGGGAACACGCACCACTGGTCTGGTGCGAGGAGCAGGAACGGGCCGGGCCGGACTGGGGACACACACCACTGGCTTGGAGCGGGGAGCAGGTACAGGTCGTACCGGGCTGGCGACACGCACCACTGGCTTGGTGCGAGGAACAGGAACGGGCCGTACCGGACTGGGGACACACACCACTGGCTTAGTGCGAGGAACAGGAACGGGCCGGACTGGCGACACGCACCACTAGCTTGGTGCGAGGAGCAGGCACGGGCCGTACCGGACTGGGAACACGTACCACTGGTCTGGTGCGAGGAGCAGGAACGGGCCGGGCCGGACTGGCGACACGCACCACTGGCCTGGTACGAGGAACAGGAATGGGCCGGGCCGGAATGGGAACACGCACCACTAGTCTGGTGCGAGGTGCAGGAACGGGCCGCGCCGGACTGGGAACACGCACTACTGGCTTGGTGCGGGGAGCAGGTACGGGTCGTACCGGGCTGGCGACACGCACCACTGGCTTGGTGCGAGGAACAGGAACGGGCCGGACCGGACTGGGGACACACACCACTGGCTTAGTGCGAGGAACAGGAACGGGCCGGACTGGCGACACGCACCACTAGCTTGGTGCGAGGAGCAGGCACAGGCCGTACCGGACTGGGAACACGCACCACTGGTCTGGTGCGAGGTGCAGGAACGGGCCGGGCCGAACTGGCAACACGCACCACTGGCCTGGTGCGAGGAACAGGAACGGGCCGGGCCGGAATGGGAACACGCACCACTAGTCTGGTGCGAGGTGCAGGAACGGGCCGGGCCAGACTGGGAACACGCACCACTGGCCTGGTGCGAGGAACAGGAACGGGCCGGGCCGGACTGGGAACACGCACCACTGGCTTGGTGCAGGGAGCAGGAACGGGCCGGGCCGGAATGGGGACACACACCACTAGTCTGGTGCGAGGTGTAGGAACGGGCCGGGCCGGACTGGGAACACGCACCACTGGCCTGGTGCGAGGAACAGGAACGGGCCGGGCCGGACTGGGAACACACACCACTGGCTTGGTGCGGGGAGCAGGAACGGGCCGGGCCGGACTGGGAACACGCACCACTGGCTTGGTGAGGGGAGCAGGAACGGGCCGGGCCGGACTGGGAACACGCACCACTGGCTTGGTGCGGGACGCAGGCACGAGGTGTACCGGACTGGGAACTGACGTTAGAGATCTCCGACTGTACCAGTCTTTCACTCTCCGCGCCCAGTCCTCCTCCCGTGAGGACTCCTCCCTGAGCCCCCATGAGTGCAGTGGTCGGGGCTCTTCTCCATCGATCCCCGACCACCATTTTAGCCCCCCTCCCCAAAAATTTTCTTGGGGCTGTCTCTCGGGCTTCTTCCTCGGCCGGCGCCTTCTGCGTTGCCGTTGCTCCTCTCTAAACCGGGCCTCCACTGTCTCCTCCCAAGGACGGCGATCCATCCCAGCCTGAATCTCCTCCCATGTCCAGAATCCCTTTCCGTCCAGGATCTCCTCCCATGTTCAGGCTGTCTGCTCCTGGGCACGCTACTTGGTCCATTTTTGGTGGGATATTCTGTCACGTTCATTTAAGGACGGGTCAGACCAAGGCGCAGCGTGAAAGGCATACATGTTTATTTCACCGATAAACACACGAACAAAACAACAAACCAAACGAAACGTGAAGTCCTAAGGCTGAACACAATACAAGCCTCCAACACAGAACAAGATCCCACAACTAATGAGTGCCAACAGGCTGCCTAAGTATGATCCCCAATCAGAGACAACGAGCGGCAGCTGTCTCTGATTGGGAATCACACCCGGCCAAACATAGAACTACAACACCTAGAATATAAACATAGAAAAAAACAACATAGAATATCCACACCCTGACTCAACATACAGAGTCCCATGAGTCAGGGCGTGACAGGTGGTTTGGTGACAGTATTTTAAAGGAGAGGCATGGCCTTGGGTCCTGTCCTGCTGTCATTAGTGTGTTACCTTTGTACATGAGAGAGAAGGAGAGATGGGACAGACACTCCTCCAGGTAGAGCCTCAGAGTGGATGTCACAGGAATACAGGTCGCTGCAGACAGACAGAGATCAATGTACCATTCAGGATACTTCAGTTTCAACTAAATAAACATTATTTCAATCGCAACCCAATAGTTTACAGCCCCTTTGCCATTTCCATCGATGAAGTCACATGATATTTGCATTGTTTGAGCACAGAGATATACTGTAACTGGGAGTGTTTTGCTTTGTGTGACTGACATATCTGTTTCTCACTGTTGTTGTCCCGGGTCGACAGGGAACTTCTTCTTGAACTTCAAGGTGCTGAAGCGAGCGGTTGGCTGGCGGACAAACAGGGAGGACTCAGTGGGCAGCAGGATCTGACTTGTGACAATGGACATCCTGTGCCGGGTGTCCGGGGGTAAGGCGACCTGGGTGGGGTAGGGCCGCGGGGGTCTACCGGACACCCTGGTCTGGTGAAAGGGTTTGGCGTCAACAGGGATGTCTGAGAGTTCCTCCCAGGACAGGGCACACAGGTTCCGGATTCCCTTGGGAAGCAGGAGCTCCTTCTCCCGACATTCCTGGAGGAGCTGAGCTATCTGCTCCAAGAGGTCAGGAGCCTCAACCGTGTAGCGCTGGAATGTCTTCAGGTCCATGTCTGTCTCCTGGAGTTCAGGTCCCCGGGTCAGTGCTAAGGCCACCACGCCAATATTGGTCAAGTGTCTTCTCAGGATTAGCTTTAAACACGGCAAACTCTCACAATCAGAAAACAACTTTGGAAATGGAACATGTGATTTCTCTGTTCAGGCTGGCCCATAGAATGCTGAGGTGGTTCCTGGTGCATTCTAGAACATGGATCAACAATGACTCTTTGTGACCACACTTTGAGAGTTCCGTTGCAATTCTGTTCAGAACTCTCCGAATACACAATCATAAATTGCTGCTATTACATTGAAAAATGACTCAACTCTAATCCAATCTACTGAAGATGGTGACGCCTTTTCTAGGTGTAAAGTAGTTTGTATATCTGAATGCATTGTTAGCTTTGAGCATCTGGAGAGGCGCTACTGTATAAAATGAATACATTATAGTTAATCTGGACATTTGTTGCTTATATATGATAATTTTAAGAGTAGTTGAGGGGAGATGTTGCATTTGAGCCGACTGTAAAAAACGAACTAATAATTTATCTCTTGAGTGACATTATTTTGTGTGATGACTGGATTACCCTTTGTGACAAATGTGAAATGGTCGACAGTAATCCCACTTGAACAAGGTCTCTCATGCAAATACAGTACTTTTGGCATTTAGCAGCAAATAGTACTTGTTTATTTTCATCTATCATCCAAAGGCATAAAATGCCCATAAGCCATAGAAAATGGCAACACTGATGAAGGCCAGTGGGATGGCCTTGTGTCTCCCAGGCTTGTGGCTGAGTCCATCTGCAGAGGTGCAGCAGTGCACACACCCAGTTGTGACCTCCATAAAGATATAGACCTGAAAGACTAAATTAGTTCTTAGAAAAGTCCAGTAGCAGGAAATGTAGAATGAGGCAAAATGCTGAATGGTGTCAGGTATAACTGATATCACCTTATAAACCCCCCCACCAAGCCACAACAGTCCCACCCCATGATGAAGACATGTGGCTTCACTCTCACCATGTGTTCCTGGCATGTAATATCACACAGGAAGCTTTTGAACTTCACTGTCTTAAGAGCCTGTGGCCAATGCGGAGCACCATGGTCTTCCCCTAGGCTCCAGGAAGATATAAACGACACTGCTCCTCCTAACCAGCCAGCAGTGGTGGAAAATGTACCCAATTGTCAGACTTTAATAAAAGTAAAGATACCTTAATAGAAAATTACTCAAGTAAAAGTGAAAGTCACCCAGTAAAATCCTACTTGAGTAAAAGTCTAAAAGTATTTGGTTTAAAATATACTTACAGTGAGGGAAAAAAGTACTTGATCCCCTGCTGATTTTGTACGTTTGCCCACTGACAAAGAAATAATCAGTCTATAATTTTTATGGTAGGTTTATTTGAACAGTGAGAGACAGAATAACAACAAAGAAATCCAGAAAAACGCATGTCAAAAATGTTATAAATTGATTTGCATTTTAATGAGGGAAATAAGCATTTGACCCCCTCTCAATCAGAAAGATTTCTGGCTCCCAGGTGTCTTTTATACAGGTAACGAACTGAGATTAGGAGCACACTCTTAAGAGAGTGCTCCTAATCTCAGTTTGTTACCTGTATAAAAGACACCTGTCCACAGAAGCAATCAATCAATCAGATTCCAAACTCTCCACCATGGCCAAGACCAAAGAGCTCTCCAAGGATGTCAGGGACAAGATTGTAGACCTACACAAGGCTGGAATGGGTTACAAGACCATCGCCAAGCAGCTTGGTGAGAAGGTGACAACAGTTGGTGCGATTATTCGCAAATGGAAGAAACACAAAAGAACTGTCAATCTCCCTCGGCCTGGGGCTCCATGCAAGATCTCACCTCGTGGAGTTGCAATGATCATGAGAACGGTGAGGAATCAGCCCAGAACTACACGGGAGGATCTTGTCAATGATCTCAAGGCAGGTGGGACCATAGTCACCAAGAAACCAATTGGTAACACACTACGCCGTGAAGGACTGAAATCCTGCAGCGCCCGCAAGGTCCCCCTGCTCAAAAAAGCACATATACAGGCCCGTCTGAAGTTTGCCAATGAACATCTGAATGATTCAGAGGAGAACTGGGTGAAAGTGTTGTGGTCAGATGAGACCAAAATCGAGCTCTTTGGCATCAACTCAACACGCCATGTTTGGAGGAGGAGGAATGCTGCCTATGACCCCAAGAATACCATCCCCACCGTCAAACATGGAGGTGGAAACATTATGCTTTGGGGGTGTTTTTCTGCTAAGGGGACAGGACAACTTCACCGCATCAAAGGGACGATGGACGGGGCCATGTACCGTCAAATCTTGGGTGAGAACCTCCTTCCCTCAGCCAGGGCATTGAAAATGGGTCGTGGATGGGTATTCCAGCATGACAATGACCCAAAACACACGGCCAAGGCAACAAAGGAGAGGCTCAAGAAGAAGCACATTAAGGTCCTGGAGTGGCCTAGCCAGTCTCCAGACCTTAATCCCATAGAAAATCTGTGGACGGAGCTGAAGGTTCGAGTTGCCAAACGTCAGCCTCGAACCCTTTATGACTTGGAGAAGATCTATAATAATAATATAATATGCCATTTAGCAGACGCTTTTATCCAAAGCGACTTACAGTCCTGCGTGCATACATTTTTTTGTGTATGGGTGGTCCCGGGGATCGAACCCACTACCTTAGCGTTACAAGCACCGTGCTCTACCAGCTGAGCTACAGAGGACCACATGCAGATCTGCAAAGAGGAGTGGAACAAAATCCCTCCTGAGATGTGTGCAGACCTGGTGGCCAACTACAAGAAACGTCTGACCTCTGTGATTGCCAACAAGGGTTTTGCCACCAAGTACTAAGTCATGTTTTGCAGAGGGGTCAAATACTTATTTCCCTCATTAAAATGCAAATCAATTTGTAATATTTTTGACATGCGTTTTTCTGGATTTTTTGTTGTTGTTATTCTGTCTCTCACTGTTCAAATAAACCTACCATTAGAATTATAGACTGATCATGTCTTTGTCAGTGGGCAAACGTACCAAATCAGCAGGGGATCAAATACTTTTTTCCCTCACCAAAAGTATCAAAAGTAAAAGTATAAATCATTTCAAATTCCTTATATTAAGCAAACCAGATGGCACCATTTTCTTGTTTTTTAAATTTACATCTAGCCAGGGGCATGCTCCAACCCTCAGACATAATTACAAACGAAGCATGTGTATAGTGAGCCTGCCAGATCAGAGGCAGTAGGGATCACCAGGGATGTTCTCTTGATAAGTGTGTGAATTAAATCATTTTCCTGTCCTGCTAAGCATTCAAAATGTAACAAGTACTTTTGGGTGTCAGGGAAAATGTATGGAGTAAAAATTAGATAATTTTCTTTAGGAATGTAGTGAAGTAAATGTATAAAGTTGTCAAAAATATAAATAGTAAAGTAGAGTACAGATACCCCAAAAAACGACTTAAGTAGTGCTTTCAAGTATTTTTACTTATTAAGTACTTTACATCACTGCCAGGCCGAAAGATGCACAGGAAAATATTAAATTACTGAACTGTTATGTATAAGGGAAAGACAAAGACAGTTGCCCTGGTGGCTCAACACTACAGGGACATGTTGGTCACAATCAAAATAGTTCTAGAACACGTTAAGAGGTGATAAATCTGTTAATGGGTGGTTATGAGTCAGCCTATAAACAACATGTTTCACTACATTCTCGGAGTGACCATCCACTGATGGCTGGAGGTCAGTGTCCTCAGGTCAATCTTTGGCAGCGGCAGCCATGATGTCAGCCTTGCATGTCAGAAACATTGGGTCATTCGAGCCCTGAATGCTGATTGGCTGAAAGCCATGGTACACTACATGGCCAAAAGTATGTGGACACCTGCTTGTCGCACTTCTCATTCCAAAATCATGGCCATTAATATGGAGTTGGTCCCCCCTTTGCTGCTATAACAGCCTCCACTCTTCTGGGAAGGCTTTCCACTAGATGTTGGAACATTGCTGCGAGGACTTGATTCCATTCAGCCTCAAGAGCATTAGTGAGGTCGGGCACTGATGTTGGGCGATTAGGCCTGGCTCGCAGTCAGCGTTCCCATTCATCCCAAAGGTGTTTGATTGGGTTGAGGTCAGGGCTCTGTGCAAGCCAGTCAAGTTCTTCCACACCGATCTCGACAAACCATTTCTGTATAGACCTCGCTTTGTACACAAGGGCATTGTCATGCTGAAACAAGAAAGGGCCTTCCCCTAACTGTTGCCACAAAGTTGGAAGCACAGAATCGTCTAGAATGTCATTGTATGCTGTAGCGTTAAGATTTCCCTTCACTGGAACTAAGGGGCCTAGCCCGAACCATGAAAAACAACCCCAGACCATTATTCCTCCTCCACCAAACTTTACATTTGGCACTATGCATTCGGGCAGGAAGCGTTCTCCTGGCATCTGTCAAATCCAGATTTGTCCGTCGGACTAACAGATGGTGAAGCGTGATTCACCACTCCAGCCGGAGCTTGGCACTGCGCATGGTGATCTTAGGCTTGTGTGCGGCTGCTCAGCCATGGAAACCCATTTCATGAAGCTCCTGACGTTGCTTCCAGAGGCAGTTTGGAACTCGGTAGTGAGTGTTGTAACCGAAGACAGACGATTTTTATGCGCTTCAGCACACGGCGGTGCCATTCTGTGAGCTTGTGTGGCCTACCACTTCGCGGCTGAGCAGTTGTTGCACCTAGACGTTTCCACTTCACAATAATAGCACTTACAGTTGAATGGGGCAGCTTTAGCAGGGCACAAATTTGACAAACTGACTTGTTGGACATGTGGCATCCTATGACAGTGCCATGTTGAAAGTCACTGAGCTCATCAGTACAGACCATTCTACTGCCAATGTTTGTCTATGGAGATTGCATGGCTGTGTGCTCGATTTTATACACCGGTCAGCAACAGGTGTGGCTGAAATAGCCAAATCCTCTAATTTTAAGGCCGTGTAGTGTATATCAGACCGCATACAACGGGTATGACAAAACATTTATTTTCACTGTTCTAATTACGTTGGTAACCAGTTTGTAATAGCAATAAATCACCTCAGAGGTTTGTGGAATAGGGCCAATATACCACGGCTAAGGGCTGTATCCAGGCACTGCATGTTGCATCGTACGTAAGAACAGCCCTTAGCCGTGGTATATTGGCCATATAACCCATAGAGATCCTATTAAATTAAGTATTCACATTCCTAATTCTATGTGCCAACCTGCTGTTATCGATGCAATGTGAGGTGGGGGATGGGGCTGGAGTTGCAGGTGCATTTTGGGGTTGGACAGTGTTTGGGGGCTGAGCAGGGGATGGTGTGGGTTGAGGTTTAAATAAAATATCTAAATAATGTAAAATAATCCTGAAATTATATCAAATTGAATAAACTGTGATTAAACCCAAACTACACTTAACAAAAAAAAAATCCTGTCTGTCATGAAGCCCTTTTGTGGAGAAAAACTAATTGGCTGTGCCCCAGCCAGTCATGTGAAATCTATAGATTAGAGCCTAATTTATTTATTTCAATTGACTGATTTCCTTACATGAACTGTAACTCAGTAAAATCTTAGAAATTGTTGCATTTTGCGTTTACATTTTTGTTCAGTATAATATTGTATTAGTGCCTTTTAGAGGTAAGATACTTTGCCTTTTAGTGGCAAAAAAGAAAAACTATAAAAAGTTGGTAAACCGTCATTTGCAAAAGGAAAAACAGTGGTGATATTACCTGAGGTACTTCAGAGGTGTATTAAAAATGATTTAAACATGCAATGAGTGCTCCAAAACAGAAACGCTATTAAACAACTTTATATTATTGTCTCATGATATATAATACACTCACATAAATAACTCTTTAATAAAATCCAATGATTAATCAGAATGATTGAAGTTACCTTTCACTGGCCGTTTGAAGAAGCGAAACATTTTCCGCATCAGTGTCATTTCCATGACCTGCCTTCTTTATCGGACAAACACATATGCCTCCCTATCAAGCCCATGAAATGGACCAGAACAGTTCAGGCCAGGGTGTACTCGGCTGGATTGAAAAACTTTCAAAACATTGCAACGTTACACAATCTGAACACATCCCTGCTCTGAGTCTGGTGGCTCATAAAAAGTACATGGACACAGCACCATCTAGAGGTTCATTCTGCAGTAATGTCATTCAATCCTTCCTCACTTAAAACGACATCCATCCCTGAACATTATCGACTATATACAGTGCATTCGGAAAGTATTCAGACCCCTTGACTTTTTCCACATTTTGTTACGTTACAGCCTTATTCTAAAATTGATTAAATAGTTTTCTTCCCTCATCGTGGTTCTCTGTCACAAATACAGCAATCAGAAAAGACAACACAATGTCAAATTAAAATGCTATCCTTTAATAACAGATCATAAAGAAAGAAAGCAGGTTATAGGTCAAATTACGAAAATGGTTCCTTCTCTTTGGTGCCCTCTGAGGGTTCAAAGATCACAGTAATGTCATTAAAGTCTAACACACATTGACGTTGTTTGTGTGTTAGGGTAGATTAATACAGGTGTGTGTCACCTGTGTGAGACAGGTCTGTGAGGATCAAGTAGAATTCTTGTAGAAGGACAGCATGTCATCCAGGCTCTGGGAGGGGGGCTGGATCTGAGGCTGAGGGGGGCACTGGGGACGAGTTTGGGGCTGCGGGGGATACTGTGGGGTGTATTGAGGTGGGTAGTGAGGTGGGGCTGCATACTGGAGGTGAGGTGGAGTGGGATACTGGGGATGAAAGGGTGGAGGTGAAAATTGGGGCTGAAATGGGGAATCAAACTGAGGGTGTGTTTGTGGGGGTGGAGGTGGTGTGTATTGGGGTTGGGGCTGTTGAGAGGTGGGGTACTGAGGTGGGGGTTGAGGGGGGCACTGAGGGGCTGGAGGTGCAGGTGTATTTTGGGGTTGGACAGTGTTTTGGGGCTGAGCAGGGGATGGTGTGGGTTGAGGTTGTGAGGGTACAGGGGTACTTCGCTGGGGTATAGGAGTACTTCTGGGCTGAGGCTGGGACATAGGAGTACTTTTGGGCTTGGCCTGGGGCGGCTCCTTGCGCCCTCCACCCTGCCCCTCTGACCACTTGAAGGCCATTTTGGGTTTGTCCTGCTCCCGTTTGGCCTCTTTCCCATAGCCCTGTCTTTTATTATTGCTGAAGTACGCAGAGGGAGGGGCGAATTCAGACTCCCTCTCATCCCGCCGCCGACTCGTCCACTCGCCAAAAAAGTCCACTAGGAAAGGAACGTGTTGTCATATTGGAAAGAGAAGACAGTTAGTTAATGACTTAACCCCTCCCCCAGGCAGCATACCACTCTTCAGTGTCCCACTGGAGGAAATACCCAGAGATGACAGGCCTTGGTTACACCTAGATCTCTCTTGTTCGACTTTGTTGTGTTATACGTGTTGAGCTAGTGTGGTGGCAGTGATTCATCAATGATCACCATTAATTATAAAAAGACCCATGCCAATTGTGTCAGCCCCAAACAAAGAGTAGCGTTTACCTTTGCCCTTGTCCCACTCTCTGACGTGGGGTACTCCTGGCTTGGTGTCCCTCCTCTCCTGGATCTCCACCTCCACCTTCTTCACTGCAGGGGCCTCTTCAGGGGCTCCATCTGATGGGGGCAGGGGCCCAATCAGGTCCTCCTCCTCTTCTGAGAGAAGTTATACAACCGACAACACTTACAACAGCATTCACTACAGCCCAAAGAATACAGAGCACTATAGTCATAGCCATTAAATCTAGAGTGATCAGTTGTCATTGTCCCGGATGCTGTATTGTTGTGGGAGTTTCCTCTAACCTTGATTGTGTTCAGCTCCCTGGTTGTCCTCAGTTCCATCCAGCTTGGCCTTCTTCATCTTCCTCTGCCTCACCTTGGCCAGCCGAGCGTCCAGCAGAGTCTTCCTCTTCTCCTTCAGCTGCTCCCTCTTACTGCGCTGGTCTGTTGTCTATGAGAAAGAGAAGGAGAGAGAAAGAAAGAAACCTCAATAAATGAACATCGACAATCTGCTTCAAACTCAAGTCATTTAAATGTACTGATAAGTAATATAAGAAGGTCCTAATCTCAGGGGAGGCTGAGAGCAACTCACCTGGTCTCTGAGCATGTCCAGAGTCTCTCTCTGTTTCCTGCGCTGCTCCTGGTCCTGAGAGAATGCAAAGTAGCCCACACCCAGCTCACGGGCCTCTGACGTGGACAGACGGAGAGATAACGGGGAGGAAAAGTAGCAGAGTGAGAGATTGAGGAGGAAGAGGACGGAGATCAGTGAGAGTTGGGAAGAGCACAAGTCAATCCATAATCCACAGAGAATACACCTCTACGGGTTTGCTGTAGAATGTACAGTAAATAGAGTTTGATTTGATGAGTTCACTAGTGTATCTCTGTAACAAGTGTCTTGCTAACCTTGCTCCCTGATGTTCTCATAGTGGATTGGTCCCACAGGTCTGTTCATGGCCTCCTCCTCCTCCCTCTCCCACTCCTGCCTTTGCAGCTCTCTACGCATGTCCTCTGACAGCAGGTCCTTCTCAGCCGGGTCACGTCTGTGTACATAAAAGCAAGCAAGCACACACAAAGGGGGGTGGGGGGGGCACTGTTGGTACTAACATATTCTACTAAAAACAAGCATACATTCATTTTAAGGTTTGATCAGAGTAAAATATACCTTTTTCCCTGAAAATCTTGGTCCATTTTCTTGAACCCTGGTAGGTCTTTCTTCATGCATCTCCGAGATCGTCCCAAAGCATCTACATAGTCCTCCCTAAGTAGAAATCAGTAAACGGCTACTTCAATTCCTAACCCTTGAACACCCAATGGCATCTACAGTCCAATACTGCACTTCTGCTATAGATGAGACATACAGTAGTTTGGGGCTTCCTGTGCTGTAGAGACATTACCATTCCTCGCCTGGGTTCTCAGGGGGTGGGATGGGGGAAGAGCTCTCTTTATCCTCTCTCTCACTCTCTCGTTGGGCATGATTCTCTCTCTTCTTGTCAATAATCTTCTGGGTGAAATCCACCAGGAAAAGTCCCTCTGTCTCCTCATCTGACACATTGGAAAAGAGGATAGTAATTCCCATGTGAGAAATACAAAAGGTATTTGCAGGGCCTTCATGTCAACTTTACATACAGATATGACAGCATTTCTTGTACAATATACCGAATGACATAACACTATACCAGGAAAGTCTCCTTTGGTCATCTGCTCATACAGTTTAGCCTTCTCCTCTAGCTTGCGCCTGCGGGCAAAGAGAGACATGGAAGACAAACAGCAATGATATACTTTTGCTATACTACACAGAAGACCTAATAGAAGGCAGTGATGGTGCAGTAAATATGTTGTCAGTGTGTAGTACATCACTACTTTGTACTCACTTTGCATTGTCAAGGTTGTTCTCTTCCTCTGCCACCAGTTCCACATCTTTCTGTGACCGCTCTAAAACACCCTCATTCTGTTTGCTCCATACATTAGGTTTCTACACAGGGAAAAGAACACAATGGATGTTATATGGATGGTCCTATGTAGCTCAATTGGTAGAGCATGGCGCTTGTAACGCCAGGGTAGTGGGTTCGATCGCCGGGACCACCCATACGTAAACATTTATGCACACTAAGTCACTTTGGATAAAAGCGTCTGCTAAATGGCATATTATATTATGGAGACAAAGTTAGGATATCCTGGTCAAAATGTGTGGTATCCTGTTCATTACATGTCTCTGTCCTGTACAATGTTTAATACATACCTTGATTTTGGGGGCTTTGGCACTAGTTCCAGCATCTTGCACCAATTTTTCATGTTTGAATTGCTCTTGTTTCCTGTAGAGTTCAGCTTTGAGATCAACCAGCTGCAGAGGAGAGTAAAGTATTCTCCATTGAAATTTGTAACATAGCGTTGTGGTCGCCATTTTAGTGTTTAAACTGATAGCAACTAACGTTACCCCCATTTGAATACCCATGAACCTCGACAACAATAGAACATGTTTTTATTTTATTTTTACATTTACTTTGGCTATAACATGGTTAGTTTGCCTACTAACTAATTTGTCAGCAGAAAGTAGCCTAGCTTGCTACGTTAGTGTACTGACTAGGCTAACTAGCTACCGTTAGCTAACTAGCTAGCTATGGTTCACACGCTGCTGACAAGCAAAATTAGAGACCATTTGACAATATGAATTATTCTAAACAACTCACAGATGAAGCAGTTACGGCATATTGCTTTTTCCTTTTATCCATGGTCGATATATTAGCTCACAATCAGCTAGCTAATGAAATGCAAACAATCCACAACTTCGAAGCAGGCATGTTGTTTGGGTCACGTGATAATTTCGGGGGGATGTAGCTAGCTAAGTAGACTCAAGACTTCCACCTATTGGTGCGGACAAAGCAACCTAGCATATATATATTTTTGTATTATTACTTTTATAGATGCTTTCAAGGTTTGCCTAATTTGTTTTGGGTTAATCACATAATGGATTTAGGCTCTTGAATATGCAGTTGATTATGTAATAGAGCACATGTATATCAGACTGCAAGTATAGACAGAGTTAGTTCATTTACTAATGTGATCTTGTAACCAAAAATAGACTATTGCTATGCTTATAATGATGCACAACGTTCGGCCCCTTATAGCTGACAAAGAATGGAATGTTGAGATAATGTGTTCTTGGTATATTTCTGTACACAGGACAGTGAATATGTCTATTGCAGACTCAGGTAATACAGCATGATTCTGTTGATGGACCAGCAAACAGTTGCTCAGGTATGGGTAAACATTCTAAAAGGGTCAAAAGCCCACATGACAGTGTGGTGTCATCATAATGGTATGATTAAAGGTGATAATCAACAAGGACATTTATGTTGCAACTGTGCTATTCATGTTATTTTATCTATTCGAACATATGAACAATCCATCTCTACCTAGATCCATCAACTATGACTGTATTTGCTTTAATGTCCAAACATGCAAGCAATATGTGTTTGGATTCCAAATGTCTCAGAGGGAAATAGCCGAATGGGTATATCAGGTGAAAAGAGACCACAGTCCAACCATATCAATGTCCAAGGTATATCTGGTGAGTATAACAATTCGTTTTCAATAAATAAGATATCAGAAGAGATTATATTTGGGTTTTGGAATCTCAATTAATTTATAGACATGAGTTAATGTATGTCACATTGTGCATATGAATGCTTTGGGTAAAAGCATCACAGTACACAGTGCTTTAAAAATGTTCTTACTTTGTGTTTGGTGAGTTCTCTCTGCGAAGCTCAAACAGCCATCTATCATGTGACTGAAGAGAAACACAGGTCTCATAATTCTGCTGCTGTGTACTCTAGCTCTGTGGGCCAAGTTAGTCAGCGCAGGCTCCAGCTTCCTCAGCCCCTCCCAGAAACCACAGGTAAGACAGGTAATATGTAGCAGACGTGTGTTTGTGTGTAAGGTTTGTGAGTTTTGTGCAAAATGTGTGTGTGTGCATGCGACACTGTCGCAGTCTGGCGAGACATTGAGAGCTTTGCGAGCTGTTTGAGGGTCCTCTTCTCCAGGAGGACAAACACATTACCGTGAGTAATCTCTGCACCAAGAACCAAATCACGCATGAAGTCTGACACAAGAGACTATATGGTGAGTGGCCCAATTCTAAATTGGCCATTAGATCCTACGCCTATGTTTTGAGGGAGCGTGCAATTGGCATGTGCTCTTCATGGATAAATCCCGGTTTCAACTGTACCAGGCAAATGGCAGACAGTGTGTATGGCGTCATGTGGGCGAGCGGTTTGCTGATGTCAACGTTGTCAACAGAGTGCCCCATGGTGGCGGTGGGGTTATGGTATGGGCAGGCATAAGCTACGGACAACGAACACAATTGTATTTTATCGATGGCAATTTTAATGCCGAGATACCGTGATGAGTTCCTGAGGCCCATTGTCATGCCATTCATCCACCGCCATCACATCATGTTTCAGCATGATAATGCCTGTCCCCATGTCGCAAGGATCTATACACAATTCCTGGAAGCTGAAAATTTCCCAGTTCTTCCATGGCCTACATACTCACCAGACATGTCACCCATTGAGCATGTTTGGGATGCTCTGGATCGACACGTACGACAGCGTGTTTCAGTTCCCGCCAATTTCCAGCAACTTCGAACAGCCATTGAAGAGTGGGACAACATTCCACAGGCCACAATCAACAGCCTGATCAACTGTATGCGAAGGAGATGTGTCACGCTGCATGAGGCAAATGGTGGTCACACCAGATACTGACTGTTTTTTATTTATTATTACAGTAGTTACATAGCAAGAATAAAGTAATTTCATGTACATTACATCTAGATAGATAGTACTTATACATTATACATCGTGTTTTTAGTCATAACTACAGTGAGGGAAAAAATTATTTGATCCCCTGCTGATTTTGTACGTTTGCCCACTGACAAAGAAATGATCAGTCTATAATTTTAATGGTAGATTTATTTGAACAGTGAGAGACAGAATAACAACAAAAAAATCCAGAAAAACGCATGTCAAAAATGTTAAGGGGACAGGACAACTTCACCGCATCAAAGGGACGATGGAAGGGGCCATGTACCGTCACATCTTGGGTGAGAACCTCCTTCCCTCAGCCAGGGCATTGAAAATGGGTCGTGGATGGGTATTCCAGCATGACAATGACCCAAAACACACGGCCAAGGCAACAAAGGAGTGGCTCAAGAAGAAGCACATTAAGGTCCTGGAGTGGCCTAGCCAGTCTCCAGACCTTAATCCCATAGAAAATCTGTGGAGGGAGCTGAAGGTTAATAATAATAATAATATGCCATTTAGCAGACGCTTTTATCCAAAGCGACTTACAGTCATGCGTGCATACAGTTTTGTGTATGGGTGGTCCCGGGGATCGAACCCACTGCCTTGGCGTTACAAGCGCCGTGCTCTACCAGCTGAGCTACAGAGGACCACAGGTTCAAGTTGCCAAACGTCAGCCTCGAAACCTTAATGACTTGGAGAAGATCTGCAAAGAGGAGTGGGACAAAATCCCTCCTGAGATGTGTGCAAACCTGGTGACCAACTACAAGAAATGTCTGACCTCTGTGATTGCCAACAAGGGTTTTGCCACCAAGTACTAAGTCATGTTTTGCAGAGGGGTCAAATACTTATGTCCCTCATTAAAATGCAAATCAATTTATAACATTTTTGACATGTGTTTTTCTGGATTTTTTGTTGTTGTTATTCTGTCTCTCACTGTTCAAATAAACCTAACATTAAAATTATAGACTGATCATTTCTTTGTCAGTGGGCAAACGTACAAAATCAGCAGGGGATCAAATACTTTTTTCGCTCACTGTATGCATCTGTTGGTCACAGATACCTTATAAAAAGGTAGAGGTGTGGATCAGAAAACCAGTCAGTATCTGGTGTGAGCACCATTTGCCTCATGCAGCGCGACACATAGAGTTGATCAGGCTGTTGATTGTGGCCTGTGAAATGTTGTCCCACTCCTCTTCAATGGCTGTGCAAAGTTGCTGGATATTTGCGGAAACAGGAACACGCTGTCGTACATGTCGATGCAGAGCATCCCAAACATGCTCAATGGGTGACATGTCTGGTGAGTATGCAGGCCAACTGGAACTGGGAAATGTTAAGCTTTCAGGAATTGTGTACAGATCCTTGCGACATCGGGCTGTGCATTATCATGCTGAAACATGAGGTGATGACGGCAGATGAATGGCACGACAATGGGCCTCAGGATCTCATCACGGTATCTCTGTGCATTCAAATTGCCATCGATAAAATGCAATTGTGTTAATTGTCCGTAGCTTATGCCTGCCCATGCTGTAACCCCACCGCCACCATAGGACCCTCTGTGGACAACGTTGACATCAGCAAACCTGATGTGGATGTCCTGGGCTGGAGTGGTTACACGTGGTCTGCGTTTGTGAGGCCAGTTGGACGTACTGCCAAATTCTCTAAAACGACATTTCAGTCGGCATGGCAATTGCACACTCCCTCAAAACTTGAGACATCTGTGGCATTGTGTTGTGTGACAAAACTGCACATTTTAGTGGCATTTTATTGTCCCCAGCACAAGGTGCATCTGTGTAATGATCAAGCTGTTTAATCAGCTTCTTGATATGCCACACCTGTCAGGTGGATGGATTATCTTGGCAAAGGAGAAATGCTCACTAACAGGGATGTAAACAAATTTGTGCACAACATTTTAGAGAAATAAGCTTTTTGTGCATATGGAAAATGTACAGTATGGGATTATTTTTCAGTTCATGAAACATGGGATCAACAATTTACATGTTGCGTTTATATTTTTGTTCAGTGTAATAAAGGACTAAAGAATTAAGTCTGCTTCGTATTAGATTTTGCCATGGAAAAAATATTGCGATACTGGTATCATCACAGCTCTAATAAAGGGGATACCTAGTCAGTTCCACAACTGAAGGCATTCAACCGAAATATGTCTTCCGCATTTAACCCAACCCCTCTGAATCAGAGAACAGTTGTTGGGGGTTAACTGCCTTGCTCAAGGGCAGAATGGCAGATTTTTCTACCTTGCCGGCTCAAGGACTTGAACCAGCAACCTTTCAGTTACTGGCCCATTGCGCTTAACAGCTAGGCTACCTGTCGCCCTAATAAACACTAAGCTACATTATACATTTTGTAAAAACTATTTTACATGATGATGTGCAGTGGGGGAAATATGTACAGTTGAAGTCGGAAGTTTACATACATTTACATTTTAGTCATTTAGCAGACGCTCTTATCCAGAGCGACTTACAGTTAGTAAGCCCCCCTTGGGAAACGAACCCACTACAGGCTACATACACCGTAGCCAAATACATTTAAACTCAGTTTTTCACAATTCCTGACATTTAATCATAGTAAAAATTCCCTGTCTTAGGTCAGTTAGGATCACCACTTTATTTTAAGAATGTGAAATGTCAGAATAATAGTAGAGAGAATGATTTATTTCAGCTTTTATTTCTTTCATCACATTCCCAGTGGGTCAGAAGTTTACATACCAAATACTAATTGAGTGTAGCATTGCCTTAAATTGTTTAACTTGGGTCAAACGTTTCGGGTAGCCTTCCACAAGCTTCCCACAATAAGTTGGGTGAATTTTGGCCCATTCCTCCTGACAGAGCTGGTGTAACTGAGTCAGGTTTGTAGGCCTCCTTGCTCACGCACGCTTTTTCAGTTCTGCCCACACATTTTCTATAGGATTGAGGTCAAGGCTTTGTGATGGCCACTCCAATACCTTGACTTTGTTGTCCTTAAGCCATTTTGCCACAACTTTGTTAGTATGCTTGGGGTCACTGTCCATTTGGAAGACCCATTAGCGACCAAGCTTTAACTTCCTGACTGATGTCTTGAGATGTTGCTTCAATATATCCACATAATTTTCCATCCTCATGACGGCATCTATTTTGTGAAGTGCACCAGTCCCTCCTGCAGCAAAGCAGCCCCACAGCATGATGCTGCCACCCCCGTGCTTCACGGTTGGGATGGTGTTCTTCGGCTTGCAAGCGGTCACCTTTTTCCTCCAAACATAACGATGGTCATTATGGCCAAACAGTTCTATTTGTGTTTCATCAGACCAGAGGACATTTCTCCAAAAAGTACGATATTTTTCCCCATGTGCAGTTGCAAACCGTAGTCTGGCTTTTTTATGGCGGTTTTGGAGCAGTGGCTTCTTCCTTGCTGAGCGGCCTTTCAGGTTATGTCAATATAGGACTTGTTTTACTGTGGATATAATACTTTTGTACCTGTTTTCTCCAGCATCTTCACAAGGTCCTTTGCTGTTGTTCTGGGATTGATTTGCACTTTTCGCATCAAAGTACGTTCATCTCTAGGAGACAGAACGCGTCTCCTTCCTGAGTGGTATGACGGCTGCGTGGTCCCATGGTGTTTATACTTGCGTACTATTGTTTGTACAGATGAACGTGGTACCTTCAGGCGTTTGGAAATTGCTCCCAAGGATGAACCAGACTTGTGGAGGTCAACAATTTTTTTCTTGGCCGATTTCTTTTGATTTTCCCATGATGTCAAGCAAAGAGGCACTGAGTTTGAAGGTAGGCCTTGAAATACATCCACAGGTACACCTCCAATTGACTCAAATGATGTCAATTAGCCTATCAGAAGCTTCTAAATCCATGACATCATTTTCTGGAATTTTCCAAGCTGTTTAAAGGCACAGTCAACTTATTGTATGTAAACTTCTGACCCACTGGAATTGTGATTCAGTGAATTATAAGTGAAATAATATGTCTGTAAACAATTGTTGGAAAAATTACTTGTGTCATGCACAAAGTAGATGTCCTAACCGACTTGCCAAAACTATAGTTTGTTAACAAGACATTTGTGGAGTGGTTGAAAAACAAGTTTTAATGACTCCAACCTAAGTGTATGTAAACTTCTGACTTCAACTGTATATGAAAAAGAGTCGGGTGCATATGAGGATGTGCAGAGAGTGCAAAACCCTTTATTACACTGAACAAAAATATAAACGCAACATGTAAAGTGTTGATCCCATATTTCATGAGCTGAAATAAAAGATCCCAT